GCGCCGGGGCCAGCGCCGGGGCCAGCGCCGGGGCCAGCGCCGGGGCCAGCGCCGGGGCCAGCGCCGGGGCCAGCGCCGGGGCCAGCGCCGGGGCCGCCGAGCAGGACGGACGCGCTCGGCACACGGACGGCCGCGGGGCTCTGTGGCATCGGGAACTTCACAGGCACCGACCCGGGCACGGCCGCCCTGTCCCGCCCGGTTTGGCCGCAGGGAGCGCCTCTCCGCAACGTGACTTTGCTTTGGTTTTGGTTTCTGTAGAGGTTTCTCTCGTTTGTTTAGCAAATCCCGGGCGTGTGCGAACGGAGCTGAGCGGCTGTCTGCTGCTCGCCTCTCAGGAGGCATTTTACGCGAAAGCGTGCTGCTGTCGAGCAGACCCAACAGCGGCCGCGGGACCGTACTCCGTGGCCGGCCGCTGCAGGGACAGTGTTACCGGCAAGGGGCACGCGGGGGAAAGGCGAGTTTTGGTTTAGAACGAATTTTGTCACGGTTTGACCGCAGCTGTCCTCTCGCGGCACGAAGCCGCCGACGGTCCGGGAGGTGTTGCCTGCTACCGGAGCCAAGCAACCTGGCGGGCCCTTGGGGATAAATAATTCAAGGGAAAGTACTGTTTTGCTATGTAAACCTTTTGTAAAAGGTGCGTTCTTCGCCCAGAAAAACTGTGTCTGCCGCTTAATGCAGCAGTTCCGTCTGGCGCTGAAACTGCCGCCGCGGCAGGCGGAGGTAAGAGGCGGCCGGAGAGCCCCGGCGGGGCATTGGCAGAGTTCACCCGGACCGTTCCAAGAGCTCCGAGCGGCGGAGCAGGGCGAGGCGCGGGGGTCGCAGCCGACATGCCAGGCGAGAATTCCTCAATGGCGCTGCCCACGCCCACTCCGGGGGCGCGCGGGACGGCGGGCCGCGCCCCCCGCGCACGTGCGGGAGCCCTCGCCGCGCGCTCCCCGCGGGCCGGCCCCGCCCCGCGCCGCGCGATTGGCCGCCCGGGCCGCCGCGGGCGGGAGCGGGCGGGGCGATCGCGCCGGGCGGCCCCGCCCACGTGCGGCGGCGCGAGCACACATCCCGCACGTAGCCGGCGCGTTAATCAGCGCGGGGCCATCTGCCGCCCTCCTCGCCGCGGGCGGGGGCTGCCCGCGCCCTTCCCGCACGCCCCGGGCGCTCCCGCGCACTGCTGGGGCGCCAGCGGCAGGAGCGCCAGCGCGGGGCTTCGGCAGCACCGCCGCTCCCGCAGCGCCGGGCCGCGGTGCGTAGCCGAGCCCGCAGCGGCCAAAGTTTTACCTCGCCTCGCCTGGCCTCGCGCCGCGGCGGAGCCCCTGCCCGGCTCGGTCTGGAGCGGACGGCGGCCCCACGGGCATCGCCTCCCAGCGCGGGCGCCGGCAGAGCAGCGGCGCGCCCGTCCCCGCCGCGCCATGCCGCTGGGACACATCATGAGGCTGGACCTGGAGAGAATCGCCCTGGAGTACGTCGTGCCCTGCTTGCACGACATCGGCTTCTGCTACCTGGACAACTTCTTGGGGGAGGTGGTGGGGGACTGCGTGCTGGAGCGGGTGAAGCGGATGCACCGCGACGGGGAACTGGCCGACGGGCAGCTAGCCGGCCCCAGCCGCGGCGTCGCCAAGCGGCATCTCCGCGGCGACCAGATAAAGTGGATCGGAGGCACGGAGGAGGGCTGCGAGGCCATCAACTTTCTCCTCACTCTGATAGACCGGCTGGTGATGTACTGCGGGAGCCGGCTCGGCAAGTACTACGTGAAAGAGCGATCCAAGGTAAGGGTCCGCGGGGCCCCGACCTCCCGTCCGCCCGCCGGCACGGGCTCCCAGCCGGCCCGACCCGCCTCGCAGCTGCCGGCGGGACCCGCCCCAAACTTTCCACGGGCACTCGTCCGTGGCGCGTCGGCGCTATCGGCGGGTGCCCGTGGCTCGGGCAGTCCCGCGGGGCTGTCCCGCAGCACCGCCCGGGTGGCGGAGGCGCGGTGCGCTGCCCGAGGGACTCCCGTGACGGCAGCCGCTCTCCAGCCCTTGCCGCCGGGTGCGGGGTCCCGCGGAAAGCGGGGCTGCTCCCTGCGGGTCCCTCGCCCCGCCGGTGCCAGCAGCGCTCCGGGGCGGCTCCTCGCAGCTCCCCTTGTTGGGTTTTCTCCGGGCTTTACCGCTGCCGGACCCCATCCAGTCCCTTGCCTTTTCACCTGTGTGACACCGGCCATCCCTTCGCAGCCGTCCCGGGGGCTCCTTGCTTCTCGCAGTGGGGCTGGAGCCGACTGCACCCCGGTTCTCCTTGCGCTCACCCCAGGTGCGGACAGGGGCGTACCCCACCAAAAACGTCTAACCTTGGCTATTTCGGGGGGGAGCAAGGTCTCCACACTCTCCCTGGGAACGTAGCCAGCTCTGATCCGATTGTTAAGATGTTTTCGCCCATGTATTATCCTGCATAGTTTCGCGGTTCCGACTCTTGTCGCCGTTCTACAGCTGAAGAGGTTATCGTTACCGCATTGAGTATGGCCAGAATACGGGATGTTTAGTAGTTTGAGCGCAGCAAACTTTTGTTTTAAAGAGACAAATTGCTTTTTCTAGGCTTTCTCAGAAATGAAGGGGACACTTGTATTATTAGTTTCTTTCCCAATGAAGTTTATTTGCACTTGCAATGCCATTAGTGTGGAGTTAACTCGTCTTTTCTTTCCTTGTCTGTTTTGCTACGGCAAAGTGTACTAACTTGGAACTAAGTTTACTTTGTTGTCCTGAATACTGAAAACATCCTTATTTCTTTATTTCTGACTTGACACAGTACATTTTCAAAAGGTCCGCTGCTGTTAGAGATATGCCAGAAACAAAAACAATGAAAGTTTTAAAAAATTACAATAGGGAGAAGCTAGGCATTTCTCTTGATCCTAACTTGCACTGACTAAGGGCGTGTGTGAGTGGTATTGTGATTCCCCCCTGAAAAATGATGAAAAAGGTACAGTGATATTTACCAGTTGCTTGGGAACACACTGAAACCTTTGCATGCATCCCCATGCATTTACACACGGTAGTGGGAATAGTAAAAGTTGAAACATTGTTCCTTATGCTTAGCTCTTTAGAATTAGTGATCATCAATTCAGTTAAAGCTTGGGTAGGTATGTTTTAAAAATGTGGGTAGTTTGGATTTTACTTATTCCTGTTGAGAGCCTTGTATTAGGAGGCATAAATAGCCATCCTGCCTTGGCACATCTTTAAGGTCATCCTTATCCTTTCTCCGGGTGATTTCTGTTTACTACTGAAAGTGCATTTCTGGCTAAGGGTGTGTGCGCAGGGGTGGATATTGAGGGGCGTTATTTAAAAGCTGGATTGGTGTGAAAGGAGGCTGTCCAGACTTTTACAAGGTATTTAGAAAACAAATCATCTGGATGAATGAAGGCTGTTGGTGCTGGCTGGGAAGAAGGGTCTTTTGGGCAGTGGTTTTGGGTTGTAGAGATGGTTTTAAAACAGCGTTTTGTTGTTTTTGAAGGCATTCTTGTACAAATAGTAATAAAAAATAGAACATAACTTGTTTTATAAATAGGTAGCAAGATATTTACTATGAAGAGAGACCTCTGGCTCTTGTGACTTAATGTGAAATTTGTCAGAATCCAAACAGCACATGGAAGTGCTGCACAAGAGTCCAGGACTGAAAGGGACTCAGTATCTCACTATTGTTTGCAAAACCAAATGCAGAGAAATTTTCATCAGTATAGTAACCAATCCCCTTGTTATAATAATAAATACCATGGGTATGTGAGGCCCTGGAATAGCAGCTGCTGTCTGTAACTGAGACATGGGATGCCTTCAGCAGAAAGATTATTCCTGTGACTAACAACTGATTACTACAGTGCATGCAGGTTCCCATATTGGTTTAAGACATCTCTCTTCTACCATTAAACCTTCCCATTCTGCTTATCATCTGAAGTCTTATTAATGCATACACACAAATCCCAAATTTAAATTCAGCAAATTTTTATTTTATCTGGTGGATTATGTATGTAAATGAATGCCCACAAAACTTTCACAGCTTAAGATTTGTGGATATGTGGGGTGTTCATGGGTGACTGGACCAGAGCTTCTTTGTGGGACATGTGCTGTTGTAATTTATTGTTTTGGCATATAGATATTACTCAGAACTAAGAGCTCAGAACAATTTGTTTAAAATGTAAGCCTTTAGGTACATGTTAACTCAATTTGTCATGAAAATGTACTTCTGTCATATCAGCCCATCATTATTTAAAGGTTTATACTTTCAATAAGTAGTGTATGACTTTAGTCTTAAGCCTATGTGTTGGAAGAAGGTGAGAATGAATTTATGTCAGATTATGTCAGTTTAGTGTGAAGTGCTTCATATTTTTGTAGCTACGCAAATATAAGTCCTGAACAACTTTTGTCCAATAAAGGAAATTTTCCTTTCAGCTAAATTAGAGGAACAAGTCAGTTAGGATTGTGCTGTTTCCAAATTAATTTCAAGAGAGTTAAGATTGCATCAAAGAGAACAAACAGAAGTAAAATTTTCAAGGGCACTGGATATTCATAGGAGTTGCTGGTTGACTTTTGCGGGCTGATCTTGAAATGTAACTTTTCATCTTTGCAGACCAGTGATACAAATCTATCTTTGGTGAAAGTTGTATTTGAAAATACTGGCTGGTTAAATGCTTGAAACATGGTTAAAGGTTGATGGACCTAATGCACTGCTTGTTGGCTTTTGCATTCTCATCAACTAGTCTCCATTTTCTAGTAAGATAATATAATGGTTCCCCTTTTCTAGTAGGTTAATGGCTAAGGACATCACTGAGACATAATTGACCCAAGTTTAGTCTTCTTTTCAGAGTGAGATGATTGATGTCCTTGCGCAGAGGGATGTTCTGGCATGAGGACAGAAGTCACTGTTTTTGAGGACCTGTCGCTACTCTGCTGGAGCTTTACTTGGTGGAGAAAAGCTAGTGGCTGTTTCAGGTCAGAAGCAAAGCTGCAGCTTGGTGTGTGAGGCCAGTCACCCAGAGTGCCCTCTGGATCAGGTGGTGCTCCAGGGACTGCAGGTGAAAGGGTGATGTGCTGCAGCTTCTGACTCCCCAGGTCCCAAAGTTTAACTGCCATTTTCAGGGCCTTGAGGGGGTGTCCTGTAGGAAAATACTGTACTATAAATTTCTCCTTGAAGACTAGAGAAATGTTTTGGTGGTGGGTGGAGTGTCTTTGGAGGTTTGTTTTTTTTTTTTAAGAGAATCTGTGGAGCCTGTGGGAACTTGGAAGTCCCTGATATGAGGAGGCAGGGGAGCGTACGGTAGGAACCAGGTTGGCTGGCTGGTGTGTGGAAATATTACAGTGTTGAATTGTTTGCGATGGGGTGTCTGCATAATTCATCTGCTGCTAAGAGGCTGTGGAATTGCTCTTTTCTCATTTTGCCTCTGCTGGAGGAGGGCAGCTCTCCCTGTGGCTGGCAGGGTCCCAGAGCAATGCCATCGGTGCCTGCTGCCCTGGGCTCCCTCAGCTGACTCAGCGCTTGATGCGCTGCCAGCGCTGCGTTGGTCCTCACGGCGAGGGGTGGAAGTACTTTGAACTGGTGTGGCTGCACTCTGAGTGGACTCTGCACCTCGCCGTGAGAGCAGCGCCTCCTGCTCTGAGTCACAGATACCCTCTTGGGTGCCACCAAGGGCTGAAACCCATGTCAGTGCTGCCATTGAGGACCTTCAGCCCATCTTGCACCTGCTAGACACCAGTGAGTTCTGCTGGTTTGAAAATAAAGCAAGAATTCATAATCTTAAGAGCTGCTTTGTGTTGAAGGAAGCCTGTGACTGGTGTTTTCAGTTCAGAACACAACTGCTTACGTTCAGTGTCAAGTGTATAGCCTGAAGTTTAAGAAAAACCCTGTTTACAATGTAAGATTAGTTAATTTAGAAGTCCCTATGGGATGTGAACTTCCTCAGAAATGTGCTTCCTCTGCTTCCACCCTGCTCTTCCCACCCTGGTGGATCCTCTCTAATGGTCACACGAGAAGTAGGTCTTTTGTGGTGACAGTCCATAGCTAGTGAGTGTTTACTGGAAACCAGAGTGAGTTCTGCCTATCACATGATGGGGTGTTCCTAGGTAGGTTTTGAAATATGGCCTGCACAGCAGGTTGTTATCAAGATATCTGTTCCTGAGGATTGAAGAAATGGATGAGATGTCATGGCAGTAGTTTTACAAAGTCCCTCTTAACTCAGGTAAGGATGTAAGGTATTTTTGCATTTATATATGAAGAAAGAAAAGCGCTGTTCTATAACATTAAAATTCTATGCTTTGCAACGAAAACACGGTGAAATGCTGAATTTTATCATTTGAAGAGTGAGATAACAGAAAACTAGATATAGTAGGCTGAAGAGTGGTACTACTTCTTGAGATATACTGGTATGTTACAAAGGTTTTTTTGATACTTGGGTAGCAGCATGCCTTACAACTTGTTTACAATGGGAGGTCTGATGAATACCACCATCCAGAAGAAATGTGCATAATTTCTTTCTTCTAATCAAATGCACATGTTCTGCCATAATGCACAAGTTCAAATCTGTTCTTCTGGCCAACTGCCGGCAGAGTCCAGAGCCACTGGAACTGTAAATACAACAGACAAGTCATTTTATGATACGAGACTGAAGAATTCAGCATTGGCACAGATCCTAGTGTGGTTGCTTTGGCTCAGTTTCAAAGCTGATGTTTATATCTGAGTTTGTCAAGCAAGATTAGTTAGCCTGGTTAATTATACACAGGAATGTATAATTTTTACTTGACAATCAGAT